AGAGCACAGTATAAAGATTTATATTCCCGATCAGAGTCCTCAGATAAAGGATGGGAGAGAGGCAGAGCAAAAGGCTGATTCTTCCAGTAACATTTTTCACTTAAGGAATTTGAACCAAAGTCTACAAAGAACACAAAATATATTTGCATTTTTCCACATTCATGTGATCTTTCTCAATACAAGTATATTCATCTCTATTTACGATACCAGAATGGTTGGTATTAGGTACAAATAAACCAATGGAGGAAGGAAAAGTTGAGTAATCACTATGCAACTGCAGAACAGATGGCGTTCATTGGGAAATCTTTATCACTGTGTTGAAGACATGGTTTAATTAATTATGCTCAACTCTAAGAAAAAAAAGATTTTCAGTTTTCTTACTCTACGTGGAGAATATTTGTCCACGGGCTAAATACGTTAGTTTGGTTGCCCATAGTTCTCCTATTAACTTGTTCCTGGTGTGGGTGTGGGTGTGTATGATGAAGGAGGGTGGTGATGGCAGAGGAGGTGAGGCAGGAATCGTTGACCTTTCTATCTCTCCCTTAAGGGAGAATGGGCGTGGTAAACAAGAGATGGAATACTAGTTTTGATACTAGAAATTATTCCCATTCCAAAATACCCCAGTTTCAGGTTTATATAATTCTAAATAACATCGGTTTCTTATCACGATAAATGATGGTCAAATTTCCTCCAGGATCCTAGGGTCAGTATGGAAAGTCACTTAACTCATAAATAGTTACTTGGCTCTCAGTCCAGGGCACATTCTGACTCAACACATATATGTAGTTTTGTTGTTTTTAAAAAGTATGTCAAAATATTGAGGTGTCAGACACAAAGAATTCGGGGCCTTCTTAAATACCCCTTCTGCTTTCTGGCAAACCACTTTAGTGATTCCTTGTAGCCAAATTAAAGTACATACAAGAAGATTCATTTGATCAGACTAGAATACAAGAATTATTTACTTCTATTAAGCTTTTTTTTTTTTTTTTAAATCTGCCTGGACCTTAATCTCTAGAAGATTGCTGATTTTAGCTTTTCTTTGAGATGAAAACCCTCCCCCTTTTCAGCTAAGCACATTTGTTCCATTCCCATGAGTTACTCCCTGCTTGGGTTTGCTTGCTAACTGAAGCCTATTCTCTTACTCTCTAAGCCTTTTTGTAACATCTGTTCTCCTTAAGACAGTGTCTGAATTTGACTCTAATTTGATCTTAAATTTCTTACTTTTTATTGGCATCAGATACTACTTCTGTATATTTCCATAACATTTTTGTCTTGATCAGAACACATTCTTAAATCATGTATTAACATAGCCCGTACACCCATAATATTTAAATAGTATTTTTATTTTTATAAAAATTCATTCAAGCAAACATTTATTATTGAGTGCCTCCAAAGAAATCGACAAGACAATGTTTCAGGATCTCAGAATACAGCAATGAATAAAATAAGGTTCTTCTACTCATACAGTTTACATTTAGGGGGAAGAGACAGACAATACACACAAAAAATATATATTTTTATATATTTATTTATATATATTGACAATTAGTATTAAGAAGGAATATAAAGCAGGAAAAGAAAATATGGAGTGCTAGGAGGGGTCATGGGGGAGGACTGATGTTTTTATAGGATGATAAAGGAAGGTCTTAGTGATAAAGTAAGTTTTGAGCAAAGATCAAAGGAAATGAGGAAACAAACTATGTGGTTATCCAGGAGAAAAGTTTTCAGGAAGGGGGAATAGTAATTGCAAAGGCCAAGTAGTAAGAGAGTGCTTGGTATTTTCCGGGAAAGGCAAGGAATCCAGTATGGCTGAAATAGAATGAATTAGGGGGAGAATAGAAGGAGATACAGTCATAAAATGGTATGTTCCTTGAGGGCAGGGATTTTATTTGCTACTGTATCCTCGGTGCTTTAGAAAGTATCTCTCACAGAAAAACACCTATTTGTTGAATGAACAAATGTACTAGACACAGCAAACTTGGAAATGAAATAAACATTGTCCTCGATTCACAGAAATTTTGAGCCTAGTAGGGAGGCATCAAGAAGCAAATAAAAACAGTGGAATATTATAATGACTATATTAGACATTCATATGGAGTATAGAGACCATAAAGAGAATAGTCAATCCTAGCTGGGGTGGAGAGTGGGCAAAATGCAGAAATTGCTATGTAAACTATGTTATTTTGGACATGTTAAGTTTGTGACGCTTATTAAACAACCAATGGAAAAAAGAACTAGGTAACATTTTCTACACACTATACAGTTTAAAGTGCTCATTCTACATAATAACTCATGTAATCTTCACAGAAACTTTGAGATAGAATGATGAAATTAGTCAAATAAATAATGTAGGGAAGTGCTGTCCAAAGAAGTGGAAGTCTGCATAAGTGAGAAATGTAGTTGGTTCAATCTAATGAAAACAGAGGGTTCAAAGTCATAGAGGTTCTCTAATGCTAGGTCAAAGATTTAGGATTTTACCATGGAGGTAAAAGAGAGCCAATGAGGGGCTCTATTATAGGCAGGAGGGCCAACTGGAAATGTGCATGACTGGAGGTAGGAACCCTAGGCAGTGTAAATGGTTTGCACTGGACTACTAACCTAAAAGGTTGGTGGTTTGAACCCACCCAGAGGTACCATGGAAGAAAGCCTGGAAATCTGCTTCCTTAAACATTATAGCCCAGAAAACTCTACGGAATAGTTCTACTCTGTAACAATGGGGTCACCATGTGCTGGAATCAACTTGATGGCAACAGATTTTTTTTGATTTTTGGAGGTAAGGAGACCACTTAAGAGACCAGCGCGCTAGTGTAGGCATGATATAAAGTGAAGACCAAATCTAAACTAAGACATTGACAGTTAAGAGAAACCGACAAACACAATATTCCTGGAAGTCAGTGAAGGTCACTGGAAGCTGAGTCCCCAGTTACCTTAATAGACATGTATATAATGTATTTTGCTATATGTAAATAGAATTTCTATTATTCAATGTGTCCTAAAGCCTTTTTTCCCTTGTATACCAAAAGTGGAGTTCTGGTTGCACAGTGGTTAAGAGCTCAGCTACTAAGCAAAATGTTGGCAGTTCAAATCCACCAGCCATTACTTGGAAACCCTATGGGGCAGTTCTACTCTGTCCTATAGGGTCACTATGAGTCAGAATCAACTTGATGGCAATGGGTTTGTATTTTGGGTTATATCAAAAGTAATATCTTGACCTGACCCTATATACTACAAGTTTATTTAATTTATTGACTCCATGTCTTAGTCTAGTTTCTCTAGAAAGGCAAAACCAGTGAGATGTAAATGTAGAGAGATTTACTTCAAGGAATTGGCTCACGCAATTGTGGGGGCTGGCAAGTCCCAAATCCATAGGTCAGGTCGTAGGCTGGAGACCTCTGCTGGCTTGCAGGATTGTGGGGCCTGGCAAATCCAAAATCTGCAGGTCAGGTGGCAGGCCAGAGACTTTGTCCTAGGAACCAGAAGTAAGGTGATGAGAAGAGTGCAAGGTCAAGAAAGAGAGCTTTGCCAGAATATCCATTTGTATACTAGAGTCAGGCCACACCCCCAAGGACACTCCTCTTTCAACTAATTCGCTAATCATATCAGATTACATCATGGAAGATGATTAGATCATATTACATTATGGAAGAGAACAAAGTCCAGTGTCTGCCAAACCACTGAGAATTGTAGCCTGGCCAAGCTGACTCATAACATTAACCATCACACTCTAGCCTATCATTTTAGGTCTTTGGTATACCATCAGAAGAAGGCAAACAATATTATTCTTATTTATTCTTTTACTGCACTTTCGTTTCCATTTTTCTTCTAATAATTGTGCTCAGAATTCTAGTGCTATAGAAATTGGGTAGCTTTTTTTTTTTCTGTTTAAGGAGAATGACCCTTCTACTTATCTATTTGTATATTAATTTTTGGTGTTAAATTTAAAATGTTAAGAAAGCCTCAATTTACATAAAATCATATACAAATATAGGATCACTTTAGCTTTTTAATTAATGATTGTTGCAGAATAACATATTTCTTATTTTTACTGCTAATGCATTGGAGTCTGCTAAAGGTTTTGTTCATGTTAAACAAGTTTGTTTCTTAGGATAAAGCCCACATGGTCACAGTGGATAATTATTTCATGTGCTGTATTCTGTCTGTGAAATTTTATAAAGGGTTTACATAAAAATATTCATAGATGAACTGAATTATATCATTTTTGGTCTTTTTTGAGTTTTGGTATTAAAACTAAATATGTTTCTATATTTTTGAAGTTCATGTAAAATAGGGAACATTTATTCCATAAAATTTTTGGAAGAAAAAGTCTTCAGGAAATCAGATTCAGACAATAACTTTAGGGATAATTCTTTCAATTTTCTCTTTGTGTATTGCTTTGATAATTTTATATTCTTGTTAGAAGATCTGTTTGTATACTTTTCACATTTATTAGCATATCTTAAATGAAATGAATAGTATGTCCCCTCCCCCAATGCCTGGTTGACATATCCATCTTAAATGGATACGGTCAAGTGGTTAAAAGCACAGAATCCCAAACCAGAACTCCTGTCACTTATTAGTGTATCCATGGGCAAGTATTAAACCTTTCTGTGACCCAAATACCTCATCCTTAAAATGGAGGTGATGATAATATTAGTACTTATAGCTCAGGTTACTGTGAAGAATAAATGAGTTAACTATAGAGAAAGCACTTAAAATTTTCTATTGTATGGAAGTGTTAGCTAATTCTTTATCCACTGGTTCTTTAATAAGCAAACCTAACATGTTCAATACATAATTTTTAATCCACTACCAATTAGCCAAACCTGTTCTTTCTCCTGGAACTTCTTTCTCAGTAAAAAGTACATTTTCTCAAGGTTGCTTTGTCCAAAAAACAAGTAGTTATCACTGATTCCCCCTTTTCCCTCATCTCTCACATCAGTAACTCTCATCAGCTCTAAGTTGGATGCTTCTTAGTACCTCCATCATTACTATCCAGGTCCACAATGCCATCACCTCTCACATTGACTATAGCCATGGCCTCTTAAATCTTCTCTCTGTTCCCATTCCTCTTCCATTTCTTTCCACTCTTCACACAGCAGCCAGCATCTCCTCCTTTGAGGATAAATTGGGTCAAATTCTTTCCATGTGTAAAAGTTGCTTGTGTCTTCCTTCTACGCTTCAGATAAAATCCTGACTCTTTATCCTGACCTAAAATGCTTACATACACTGGCCACTGCCTCCCCCCACCTCCCACCTCATCCCCAGTCAGGCCCTACTTGCCCTCTGCACAAGGGCCTTCCTGCCAGTGGGTAACTTCAAACATTCCAAGGTGGCTCCTGTCTCAGTCCTTAGGGTTGGCTGTTTGCTCTGCCTAGTATGATTTTCCCCAAGACTTCAAATAGCTAGCTCCTTCTTTTCATTTAGGTCCTTGCCCAGATGTGATCTCAGAGAGACCTTTCCTGACTCTTTACCAAAAATAACCCCTCCATAATGATTTTCCCTTCATTCTGCTCATTTTCCTCATAGCATCACTTACTTTGATCGGAAAGTGTATTATTTGTTTGTTATTTACTTGATTACAGCCTGTCTCTTCCCTTAAGACATGGAGTCAGGAACTCAGTCTTTCTTTGCTCAACACTGAAACACTCGATGACTGTAACAATGCACAGTAGACTCTTGATCAATATTTATTCAATCAGTCATTATTTCAAAAATACCTCCCAATAGCTAGGTTTTCCTTTAAAGCTACTCAATCTTCCTTTGTTCTCCTGGAAAGGCCACAAGTCCCCAGTTGTCTCCTGTCCTGAGACCTTTACTCTGATTAACCTCCTCTTAGACAGAACTGACCTGGTTTACTCAGCACTGCAAGACTTGAGCAAAAAGCAAACACAGACCATAGCTACCTGTTGATAGTATCCATTAAAGACAAGATGGAATTTGCAGTAAGATCTTATCCAGAAGGACTAGAAAAGAATTGGGGAAGAATACAGTGAGAATCGTATGTAGAATCATTGAAGCAGAAGGTGGAAACAAAAGAAGAATTGGGTTCCAGAAAATCTCTCCAAGCATTCAGAAAAGATCTGGGACAGAGAATTAGAAAATACTAAAACAGATTTCTCTGTCCATATTTCAATAGGACACAACATTATAAATATATTCATTCATATTTGCAATGGCGGGAGAAGAAAGTGTAACACTGACGTGTTCCATTGCAACATCAGAAGGGTCATGTAAACAAAATTCATTATTTACCCCTTCAAAAACATCTTACCTGAAGCTATCTATGAAAAGATTCAGAATCCAGTTCGATATTTGCCTAAGACTGCTTTTCAATCCATGTTGATGGGAGATCTCCCATTCTCCCTCCTTCCTTCCTTTTCTGTTGCCACTCTTCCTTCCAAAGTCCTCACTTCATCCTGCCACCATCTTTGTGCTCAGGACAAGGCTAAAAACAAACAAATAAATCTACTCTATATCATCATTTCTTTTTGAATGGAGAATCTTCAAGACCAGTGCTGCCCCCACCCTGCTGATAAAAACCTCCCTTTTTGTTAATACCGGCACTCTCTCATAACACAATTTCAATGCATTGTTGTTGTTGTTCTTGTTGGTCAGTGCTATCGAGTCTGTTCCAACTGACAGCAGCCCTATAGGACAGAGTAGAACTGCCCCATAGGGTTTCCAAAGAGCGGCTATTGGATTTGAACTGCCGACCTTTTGGTTAGCAGTCGAGCTCTTAACCACTATGCCACCAGGGCTCCTTGATGCCTTTTTAATGGGTCTGAATTATCAGGTACCCACAAATTAGATACACAAGCATTTAACTCTCTTTACTTTTTTCTATAACTCAACTTACTCTCATTATAGAGATAAAAAAAATCCCATCAGATGGCCAAAAATTCACTCTTATTCAAGCACAGATGAACCCAATAATTGTGAGTTTAAACTCTGAATTTATTGTAAGGACTAAATTAGATAATGTAGTTAAAAACTCTTTATGAAATAAATGGCTGCTTGAATTTTGTCCATGTAAAGAAGAGGTTAGAAATACTGAAACAAACTACTCATTATAATCTTTCTCTGACTTACTGTTTATGGTATACACGTGTTGTGAGTGGGGAGGTTATGCAGTAGGAGAAGAGGAATGGGATTAAAAATGAGTCATAGGAGACTTATTTCTGTTACATTTCCACATGTTTTATGTCATTTAACCTTCACCACAAAACCCTGTGGTGTAGATATTAAGATCTGCATTGTAAGTATAAGGAAGTTTAAGCTCAGGGAAGCTGAGTGACTGGCCAAAGGTGCAAAGCTAATGAACAGCAACCAAGGACTCTACTCCTTTACAGCTGTCTGTCAGCGTAGCACTTGTCAATTGGGTGTGTGTGCGTGTGCAGCTTTTTCCAAATCTAAATTTCTTTGAAGGTCTTTGTACAGCTTATAAAATGGGGAAAGAGTTGTGGTAGAAAAATGTTATTAATCATTGAAAATAAATAAAAGCATTTGAAGGATTTGACTGAGTTGGTGTTTAACTCCAGCCTTAGAAATATTGGGTACACAGGGGTTCAGCTGAAGAAGGTTTAAATTCTATATTAATATGTGTATGAGCATAGGACATACAAAATTTTCCAACTGATATTTACATAGCACTTATCACTGGTCCAGTGGAGAGATTTACTCAGCAGGAATACAGGACGTTTGATATTCCCATGATATCCTGGGCATAGGAAAGTTTAGTAATCTTCCACGGTCACCTTGTGATGACCGGCTATCCACCATAATAAATTGTGATTTCTGAAAATCTAAAAATTAATATTTTTGTCTCTGCCATAAAAATGGAGTTAAGATTAGACCTTTCTTGATTGTTTCTCCACAGAAGTTGATAGCCTATGGATAGGTGCTAGATGATTTAGGGAGCATGGAGGTAAAATTTAGGCATCTTCCATCTCAGACATATTTTTCATATATTCCTAGATTCATAAGCACAATCAATGTTGGAAACTCTAAAATACCAAATATACCAACATTCATTCAGAGGCTACAAAGAAAGGTGCTGAGTACATGGATAAACTCCATAACAAAATGTGAATTATCTTAATTATTTAATAAAAAATAATTCAAGTAAATACACATAAACCTAAGTCTATATATAAACCTATATCTATATTTATGTCTAAACTCTGGCATTAAAGTAGTTACTAAATGAAGGCAATAATCCAAAGCATTTTCAGAGCCTGGTAATTCTCCTATTGCTTTACAAAGGAGAAACTGGCCTCATAGGTAGAATTTCTCACTGACATGTAAAAAAAAAAAAAAAAAGAGGTATACAAACAACTGAGTTGTGTTTGTACTGAGCTTTTTATTTAACTGAATCTTCCTACCTTGAAAATAGTGTCAGTTCCTAAAACAGGACAGAAAAGGAGAGAATCAATTCTTTTGCCTGTTGACAAAATAAAGTCACTTTCGGGGCAAGTCTGATTCCTTACTCAGAAATGCTTGGTTTATCTAACACTAGACAATCTCCAATAGTTGACATTACACAGATATATTTGAAAATAATATGGGAGTATAACTACGGACCTAGATATTTTAACGGAAAGACAAGTATATACCTCAAAACTATGATTTAATATAAAAAATACCACACATACCTTTAAACACATATTGTTTAAAAGCACTCATCTTTGTTGCAATTGTGTTTGCTTCAATACCTGTCTTTTTCTATGAGCCTTTTCATGGCTTAGATCAAGGTTTATTTAACCCCTTCTTTGACTCTGATTTCTAACCAATTGTTTGCCACCAATTTTTAATCACAAAAATGTACTAAATGAGTAAATGAGTGAATATTTGCATTTGCAATTCTATCGAGTATTTTTCCTCCTTCTGTGGTGAAAATTTGGGACACTTATGAATAGTTATCTAAATTTCTTTCTTTTATCTAATACATAGAAATATTTGCTACAAAAATTTATGTATGGAAAAAGCATAAGTTATTAAAAATAAAATATAACTGCTTAAAACTATTTTAGACAAACAGCATGTAATAGAAAGAAAGAATTGATGTTATGGAAAAGTAAAGAAAAATATCTTTCTCCCTGAGCACAGTCCATGAGTCTATTGCTTTCTACTTCTAAGGAAATACAAATTAGTTAAGGATAATAAAGCCAATACTCAGCTTCATGTTTGTGGGTTGAACTGTTGCATGGAATCGGAATATATTTTCTGTGTCATAATATTTTTATAGTGAAGCAGCCAAAATACCACAAATGCATAGCACGAGCTGCAGGCATTCTGGCCCTTCCAGGCATTTCTGTGGTTTGGCGTTGATAAATGCAGGTGAGATATAGGATGCAATTAGGATCAAATTACAACAAACACTGCCTTTTCCAAAAATATAAGAGTTGCTAAAACAGCTTCCCTATTACCTTGGGAGAGAATGCCTGTCCATCAACAAGTTGGGACTTTAGAGCAAGTTCTCACAATTGTATCTTTTGAGTGGGCACAAAACCTGAGCCTAGTCAAAATAAAAACAATAGTAAAAGCTCCTTCCCTCACATTTCCACAGCAGCCTTGAGTGGTGAACACCAAGTCACATTGTAAATTCCTTCTTCTTTTCCTTCTCTTTCTCTATCCTTATTCCAAATAGTATAGTTTTGCCTGCTATGAATAAAAGGTAAGTTGATTCCTTAATTTAAAGAATGATAAAAAAGCATTAAGACTACTTTGCATTATATATATATATGTATTTAATTGTATGGTGCTTTAGGTGAAAGTTTACAGCACAAATTAGGTTCTCATTCAAGAATTTATACAAAATTGTTTTGTGACACTGGTTGCGATCCCCACAATATGTCAGCACTCCCTCCCTTTCCAACTTGGGTTTCCCATGTCCATTGGTCCAATTTTTCTGTCCCTTCCTGCCTTCTCATCTTTTGTTTTTGGGCAGGTGTTGCCCATTTGATCTCATATACTTGATTGAACTAAGAAGCACTCTCCTCACATGTGTTACTCTTTGTTTTATAGGCCTGTCTAATCTTTGGCTGAAAGGTAGACTTCAGGAGTGGCTTCAGTTCTGAGTAAGGAGGGTGTCCAGGGGCCATAGTCTTGGGGATTCCTCCAGTCTCTGTCAGACGCGTAAGTCTGGTCTTTTTTTGTGAATTTGAATTTTGTTCTACATTTTTCTCCTGCTCTGTACAGGACACTCTATTGTGATCCCTGTCAGAACAGTTGGTGGTGCCAGCAGGGCACCATCTAGTTCTTCTGGACTCAGGCTGGTGAAGGCTGTGGTTCATGTGGTTCATTAGTCCTTTGGACTAATATTTTCCTTGTGTCTTTGGTTTTCTTCATTCTCCTTTGCTCCGGATGAGGTGGGACCAATAGATGTACCTTAGGTGGCCACTCACAAGCTTTCAAGACCCCAGATGCCACTCACCAAAGTAGGATGTAGAATATTTTCTTTATAAACTATATTATGCCAATCGACGTAGATGTTCCCCGAGACCATGGTCCCCAGCATCAGCCCCAGTATTCTAAATTCAATGTGACTTACATTTTAAAAAAATCTAACTTACATTTTTAAAAAAATCACACTTCTTATTTGGGTTATTTGCTTCCTCTCCTGTTTTTTTTTGTCAGTGTGGCCAGTGGTTTGTTGATTTTGTTGATCTCTTCAGAGAACCAACTTTTGATCTTGTTGGTACTATTGTTTTTCTGCTCTCTATTTCATTTATTTCTTCTGTAATCTGTATTATTTCCTTTCTTCTGGTGCCGTGGGCTTCTTTTGCTGTTCCCTTTCTGTTTGTTCGAGTTGTAAGGTTAACATCTTGATTTTGGCCCATTGTTCTCTTTTGACGTGTACATTTATTGCTATAAATTGAACTCTGAGCACTGCCTTTGCTGTGTCCCAAAGATTTAGGTAACGATGAGTTTTCATTCTCATAAGAGTCTAGGAATTTTTTGATTACCTCTCTGATTTCTTCTATTACCCAGTTGTTTTTAAGCAGTGTTATTCAGTTTCCATGTATTTGGTTTTTTTTTTTTTCCTTGTTCTTCCTGTTATTGGTTTCTACTTTTATGGCATTGTGATCAGAGAGAATGCTTTGTATTATTTAAATGTTTTGTGTTTTATTAAGGTTGCTTTGTGGCCTAAAATGTGGTCTCTTCTGGAGAATGTTCCATGTGCACTGGAAAAGAGTGCATACTTTGCTGCCGTTGGGTGGAGTATTCTATATATGTCTATGAGGTGAAGTTGGTTGATTGTGGCCTTTAGATCTTCTGTATCTTTGTTGAGTTTCTTTCTAGATATTCTGTCCTTTTCCGAGAGTGATGTTTTGAAGTCTCCTACTATTATTGTGGAACCGTCACTTTCTCTTTTCAATGCTGTTAGGGTTTGTTTTATGTATTTTGGAGCTTTGT